GGATTGATTCAGTGACTGGGGTAATTGGGATGGGTTTGTCAGAGGCAATGAGATTGGCACAGGATAGAGCACGGTTTAGGGCTGTTGTACATAGGGTCGCTATGAGTCACAAACGACTCGACGGCACAACAACAACAACATCACCTGTCACATGAAATATCAACAGGTCCCCTATGGCGCTTACCAGTGAGGGAACTGCCCTTTCATGCAGGGGTTCTGGGGCTGAGCCATCCTGGAGGACTCCCCAGGGCCACGAACACTCTGGAACTGTAGATCCTGGGGGTCCTCATGGCCCCACCTGGGATGGGTCTCCCCACTGAGCAGGCCCTTCTGTGGACACAGGACCCCCATGTTGCCCAGCACCAAGGAGCCCTTTTTCTCCCGTGTTTGTGCACTTGGGACTCTGGAACTGGGACGCGTGGTGCCCGCCTCCTCCTTCCCTCAGACCCCTTCTCAGCCCAGAGTGCAGACATCTTTCGGGGTTTCCTTGGGTGGAACAAGGAGCCCTCAGAAACCAGCCCAGCCCCAGTGCCTCCAACCACCTGCCTGTCCTCCAGTGGCCTCTCTGTTCCCACTCCCCGTGTCCAGATCTTTGAGCGAGAGACGCGGCGGGAGAAGCTCCTGGAGGCCAGGCACCGGGAGATGCGGCTGAAGGAGAAGGGCAAGGCCGAGGGCAAGGCCGAGGACCAGAAGGACAACGAGATGGACGTCAACCTGGAGGAGCTGGTCAGCAAGGCCGAGGCGGAGTTCTTCGATGTCATCTTCAAGGAGCTGAAAAGGAAGGAGATCGACGCCTTGAGGAAGAAGCAGCAGCATGTAGGGCCCCTCAGGGCCTGCTGGGCTGGGGTGGGGAGCCCCGGGCCCCACTCTGCCTGCTGACTTCTGGGCTTCTCCGTAAGCCTTGCTCCAGCCTTCCGAGGTGGACCTTCATTCGTCCCTCTGGCCACTGGCAGGACTTCCTCCAGTCCCTTCGAGGAATCCTGAGTCTCTGAAGAGGCCTCAGGCCCTTTGGGGAGAGGGGGCCCCCATCTTGGTCCATGTTGGTCCGAGCCCCTCCTCACCCCGGGGGCACCCTTGAATGTGCATGCTAACCCAGAGAGTGGGGCCTGGGGGCTGAGTCAGTAGACAGGGGTGAATGGTCCGGGGACAGCCTGGCCCTCACCGTCATGCCTTTGGCTTTTCTTTTTTTTGACAGAAGGGCGAAGGGGAAGAAGAGGAATTGGAGGATCAAGAGATGAAAGCAGAGGAGGAGGAGGGCAGAGAGGAAGAAGGGGAGGGTGAGGAAGAGACGCAAGCCTAGAAGGCCAGCCTCCGCCGGCTCCGGGGGTGGCCCTGGGCTCGTAGGGAAAGCCTGGCCCCCCCCTTACGGCATCACTGCAGACAGAGGGCCAGGGGTCCCCTGCGGGAGCTGACCCACAGTGACGGGTGGGAAGAGTCCTGTGTGATGTGCAGCCTGCCTGCCCGCCGAGACCACTGCACCACCTGCCCTGGACGTCTTGTCTGATTCCTTGACAATCAGCATCCTTCACAAGCTTGCACAACCTCAGCCAGGCTCGTCGTAGCTATGGCAAGACCTTGGAAAGATGGGGGGGGATGGTCACCTCCACCCCACCCCCGCAGTGACCTCTCCTGACCACCGAGAACGTCCATCCACTTACCGTGTGCCTGTCAGAGCCCCTGCCCCACCCAGTACTGTTTGAGTGTGGGTTAGCGAGCGGTGAGATGGGTGTCGTGTGTCTGGGAGCTTCCCCTTCCCGGTTCTGGTAAGATTAAAGCCAGGGCAGCTGTGACAGCGGCCGGTGCTCTGTGTGTGACCTGTGCTCGGTGTGCCTTGTGCTTCCTCACCTCATCCTCGCAAACCCCGGAAGGTCTGGCCTCATACTGTCCACACTTTATAAAATCAAACCAAACCCTTGCCATCGAGTCGGTTAGTCGGGTTTCGGTAAAAGTGCCCCTGCGGGACAGAGCAGAACTACCCTCAGCTTAACTTTAATGGAAGCCGACCGCAGAACAACTAGTGGATTTGAACTGTCGGCCTTTAGGTTACTAGCAGAATGCTTTAACCACTGTACTGTCAAGGCTCCAGAGCCTCACTGTTCACAGAAGGAAGTGGAGGTACTAGGAGAGGTTCAGGGACGTGCCTGAGGTTACCTGGCAGGTGAGGGACAGGGCAGAGATAAGAATTCAGACACACTGGGCAGTGGGCTGTCTTGGTGTCACTTGAATTCATGCTCAACAGAGCGGTTGGTGACAATGGCTGGAGATGTTGAGAGGGTGAAAGGTCATCTCAGTGTCACCTTTGTACCAAGAGAGATCCCTTGAGCACCTAGCAGTCAGTGGACGGCAGTTGATCCTGAAGGGGTCCCCGGTGTCCTTTATAACGTGCCCGTGTAAGACTGTTACTGGAGGAAACCCAGGTCCAGCTGTTCTCCATGTCTGTCTGAGGGTTCTTAGAGAAAAAGAACCCTGTGAGGTAGACACACACACAGACTGTTGTTGGAGGCCCTCAGGTCAACTCTCAGGTGAGGACACGTGTGCATCAGGGGGCAACACTGCCGGCCTGGGGCCTCCTCACATGATTGGGCCCCTTGTCCCAGACACTGAGTCAACCCATCACTTTGAGCGTCTTCCTCTCTTGGCTAATCCTCTTCCAAACAGGATGTCCCTTCCCGGGACCAGGCTTCCTGAGAAAGTCTCCAAACTAAGCAAGGTGGATTCTCTCCATCACCCCTTCTAAGGAGCCTTGGGACTGTTCTTTTTCTAACTTCGTTTCATCCACGGGACATTCAGGGTTCTCCAGCACCGGGATACGAGCATGTCCGTTCTCCTTCAGTCTTCCTTATCCATGATACAGCTATTGAATCCAGATGAGGTGGTTGAATGTACTATGGTTTGGGTCAGGCCCACCTGAGTCCCCAAAGTGACAACTTTGCTCTTCAATACTGAAAGAGGTCTTTTGCAGCAGGTTGGCCCAAGACAAAATGTCATTTGATTTCTTAACCCATGGATGTGTAGATAGATGGGTGGTTAGCTAGAGACATGCACGCATGTGTACACACAAAGATGATTAGGTGATTTACTTCAGGGAGCTGGCTAATATGATTACGGGAGGTTTGGCAGGTCCCCAAAGTCCTAAATCTGATGTCAGGCTGGAGAAGGCTACAGGTTTTCTTTCCAAGATCTGGAGATTAAGTGATGGGAAGAGGGTGGCACAAAGTTCTTCTAGAATATCTATTTCTATAGGAAAACAAACAGATTCATCCTGGAGAGGGTTAAACCGGGCAGCTCCCTGGAGGCAAGGATTCTGAGGCTCCATCTAAGATACTCTGGACATGTTGTGAGGAGAGACAGGTCTTTGGAGAGGGACATCATGCTTGGGAGGGTGGAGGGACAGCACAGGAGGGGAAGACCCTCTATGAGGTGGATTGATTCAGTGACTGGGGTAATCGGGATCGGTGTGTCAGAGGCAGTGCGATTGGCACAGGACAGAGCGGAGTTTAGGGCTGTTGTACACAGGGTCGCTATGAGTCGCAAACAACTCGATGGCACATAACAACATCTGGATACAGAACACCTTCTAGAAGAGCTCCTTCTTTCAAGTGGCTAAATTAGCTTACATTATGGAAAGTAATGACATTGCACGGTACGTTAAATTACACGTGGAAGCTGAGGACATTGCGGGTTACCTTGGGTTATGGCGTGGAGCCGCAGCTGGGCTACGGCCTAGCCCACCCGCTGGGAACCATCGCCTGGTCCACACGTCAATGACCCATCACAGCGACCGAGGAGAGAGCGCTGTGTGGCCCTTGAAACAATCATAGCTGATGGCTGTTGGGTGTTTTCCCTGGCCTTCAACATCATCATCTCCATCCTCATCCTCACCATGGTGTCAGGGTTAAGAATATTTTTTTTTAGGTGGGGAAATAACTTTTATCAAGAATGTCCTAATAACATAAAGCTTGGGTACTGAATTACTACATGTAACAGACTCAGATCATAAACTGCTCCAACATCTAAACAGTCATTATTAAATGAGTGAAAATCTTCATAGTTAAAATATTTCATTTTAGTTGTTTACATACATATTTCTTTGGTGAGAGGGTTAAAACTTTTACTTTCATCCCAAGAGAGGAAGCAGCATGCCCACGTCCAGGGGGCCTGAGTGGCCGGGCAGGGACCCCAGGCCCAGCCCAGGCCCTGCACTCCCAGCCTCCTAATCCCGAAGGAGGAGCAGGGCTCAGTCAGTCCCACTTCCTGCCCAGTGCTGCCACCCTGCCCTGCAAAGCCTCCACTACCAGCTGTCGTCCCCTCACAGGTGACCCTGTGCGTGTAAGAGTTCTCCGTGGATGAGTTCAGAGCGTTAGATTGCCAGGTCTTTCTTCCGAGGTGCCTCTGGGTGGATGTAAGCCTCCAACCTGCTGGCAGCCAAGCGTGTGAACCACGTGCACCACCAAGGGACTCCTCCTGCAATGGGTGCTCGCTCTGCAGGGCGTGTAGAAGGGGCTCTGGCACCGGCCGCAGAGCAGAAAGTTTGCCCTCGAGGACATTTGATAATCCTTGGTGACACTTTGTGGTGACCAGATGGAGGAGGGGATGCTGTTGTTTTCTAGGGGATGGAGCCTGGGTCAGCACGTCCCACAGGAATTATCCCGCCCAACGTGACGGCCGCCGGGAGCCACAGACTGTATGAGCTGACTGCACGAAATATCTAGAGAGGCAAATGCATGGAGACAAAGGTTTGTTAGTGGTCACCATGGGCTGGGACGATGGGAAGCGACCACTTACGGGGTGCTGCGTTTCTGCTTGGGGAGATAAAAAGACATTTCGTTGCCATCAAGTCAGAGCTGATGCATGGCCGGCCCTCCTCGGAGTGTCTGAGGCTGTAAACCACACAGAAGACTGCCCGCCTTTCTCCCTCGGTGCTGCCTAAGCTGTAGAAGCCGCCCTTTCTCTGTTCAGCATGGTGGACGTAATTAACAGCTCTGCATTGTCCGTGAGAAGATGGCCAAAAGGGCCAATTCTGTGTTCGGTAGAGCTCCACAACACCGTAAGGTCGACAGAGTCAAGGCCAAGCTCCGCCCACATTAACCTGAGGGGCGCTGGACCCTCCATGAGACCTAGGACCATGACCCTCCAAAGGGAACACCCCTTAGCAGAACAAGAATGGGGGCCCTCGACTGGTTGGGAAAGGGGAACCCTCTGCTGGGCCTGTGAATGCTTTGCGGAGGGTACAGAGGGCCACATTGTGCGGCAGTGGCATTTAAGGAATGGGCCGTGGGAGAAAAGGCGAGAGTCTCAAAGATGCTGGGCATCGGCCACTGGGGCTTTGTGGACAGAAGTGGCCCCTGGTGAGACTCTGTCCCTGTGGCTCGTGACCCTCACTAGCCTTAAGTACTTGCCTTCTCCACCTCGTTACTATTCACCTGGAGGACCTCACTGCTTAGTCTACTCTGAAGACGATGGGATAAAACTACGATGTATCACCTTTGACTGGAGGAAGCGCTGTGGGTGTGAGGTCCAGCCTGGGGCTGGGCGTCTCTATGCAGGGTTAGTAAGTGACAGAAGCAGCGGCCACACTCGTGTCCACAGCACAGCATGGTCCCACGGTTGCACACTCCCTCCTGTCTGACCTTGTCCACTCTGCTCAGTTGATGTTCCTCGTAGCACTTAATGGTTCTGCTTGCAATGATGACAGACAGCCCAATTAGCCACTAGGAGGGCCCTTCCCAGCATTCCTCTCACAGGGGAAGCCAGGCCTTAGGGCACCCAGGAGGAGGACACTGTGGCCTTTGTCCAAGACAAAGCATGCACCGGGGCCCAGAGGCCTCTGGGAGGGCAGTGGCATCAGGGAAAGGTACAGGACAGGTGACAAACCACCCAGGCCAGCCTGGCATCCCCTGAACCCCAGGAGCAGGTGCCTCTGTGGCTAAGGGCCTGGTGGCGGCCTTGCAGGGACTGAAATAGGAATCGTGAGGAGAAGCCAGGTTTTATGAAACTTGCAAGCTTTGCTGTCTGCACCAGCTCAGGCGCTTGCCTCCTGGGTGACGTGTCTTTTCTGTGGCACTGTTTTCACAGGGTCCCCCTGAGCTGGAGTTGACTCAATGGCTTCTGCCTCTCTATGTCTGAGGCCATAGGCCGCTTGCCTCACTGTTTATTAATAACCCTTCTCACCAGGGGCTCCTGAGGGCTGCCTGAAAAGCAGGTCCCAGAGGAGATGCTGGCATCATGCTTCACTCTGGACCTAAGCCAGCTATGGAGGCCTCCCCGGGGACAATGCCCAGGAGACGGCAGCTCTTCCCTACTCAGCTCCTTCCATCGGAAGTGAGCCCCACCATGCTTTCCTTTCCCATCCTTTGGGGGGGGGGGAGCCAGGCCTCACCTCAGACTCTGTAGTGACAGCAGGAGGCAAGAGAGATGGCCCCCGGATGGGGGGAACTCCACCTCACCCAGGAAAGGGGTTGGGGCTGGTCCAGGTGGTTCTGCAGGTTGGAGGCAGAGTTGGGACTTGAATCCTGTTTTCCCGGCGCCTCTGGAGACCTGGAACCTTTCCACTGCATCCCAGCTGGAGCTGTTGCTGTTATTATCACCAATAACAACGGAGACTCTCAGGTTTGACTTAAGACTTTCTTGCACAGAAGGGTGGCTCTTTCCAGGGTCATCCCCCCTGCCCTGGGACATGTTACAGCATTGTTTACTAGCTGGACTCCCACAGTCCATTGCACACACACACACACACACCCCAATAATACAGAGGCGCCCCTTCGCTGAATGGAGTGAAAAGCTTCCACCCGCCCTGGTATGGGCAGTGGAGGTGAAGACACCCGCAGCAAAGACACACCGAGTGTTCCAGCCGCTGTCCTAGAGACAGACAGACAGCGGAGAAGGTGTGGCCCCAGGATCAGGAGGCCTCTATCCAGATCACGGCGTGTGTGGCCAGTCGCTCGCTCCCTGGAAGGCAGTGCGCAGGGGATACCCGGGCCACGAGGGGCCCAGAAGTTGCTAAACGCGCCGAGGACCGAGGACGCACAGCGCAGCCGGCCAGGGCGCAGGCTCGGGCGCCTGCTTGGAGGAGGCACCAGCTGTAGCGCGAGAGGGGCGGGCCCAGGGCGCGAGGCGCTGCCCCTCCCCGGCCCCGCCTCCCCGGTCAGCGCCCTTGGCCGCCGGCGCGTTGTTGGTTTCGGGTTGTCAGGCAGCAGCGGTGCAGGGCTACGGGGAGCGACGAGGGGACCCGCGGCGGCCGTGAAGCTGCGTCCGGCCATGTCCAGCCTTGCCGCCTGACCCCTCACCCGACGCAAGCATGAAGGACAGCGGGGACTCCAAGGACCAGCAACTCATGGTGAGCTTCTTTGCAGCCTCCTCCCACTACTTCCCCTGCAGTCCCCTGTCAGCACCCCACTCAGAGGACTCAAGGGTCAGGGCTGGAACTGCCTCGGGGGACTTTCTTCAAGTCCTAGTGGACGGGTGTCAGGGCGTCCCGGCCAGACCCATGAGGGCTGGAAAGTTAGCCAACTCCAGCCAACCCCTTCTTACACCCTCCGCGAGGACCTCCACTCCAAAACCTGTGCAGGGCAGTCTCTGGAAACGGCTCTTCTCTGGTCCGAGGAGTTCAGAACCAGAGTCCAGCTGAACCTACTTCCCTGAGAAGGGAGGAGGAAGTATAAAGGGGAAAGAGTCTCAATACCTTGGCCCAGGTGGGCAGACAGGGATTCCAGGTGCTGAGGAGTCTATGAGGTGTGAAGGGTGACTGCTGGTGATTACTGGGCTGTTAGCACCCTGCTATGCAGAGAAGGGGGAGCAGACCAGGTGGGGCACAGAGCCCTGGCTCTGACATGAGGGGAGCAGGTAAGGCGTGTGGGGCCAGGTCGGGACTGAAGAAGGGACGCTTGATTGTTGGCTCTGTGGGGTGATGAAGGGAGAACTCAGAGACCTCCAGGCTGCCCTGCTCGGACTTTGGGGTGGGAATCTCCCTCGCTTAGCCCCTCTGCACCTCATTACGCACAGCTGCTGTGTGTTCTGAGAACCTGAGCAGGTGGGCAGTGTAACTGGAGGATAAGGTTAATCCCAAAGTCAGCCCCTGCCCCAGTCATCAGAGCCTCACCACAGCCTCCCAGCCCCGGGGTCTGGAACATCCTCTCTGGCAGTTTGGAATATGTTTGGAAGTGGGGTACCTCTGAGCAGGAATAAAGGGTCCCCCCTTCAACCAGTGAAGCCAGTTAAGAATATCTGTCCCTCCATCCCTCAGAAAGTACTAAGAACGGGTCCATCCAGTTCTACCCACACACCCAGCAAGCGCCTCTCCTTGACCAGCAGAGGACACGCCCTTGTTCTTTGGGGGACCCATGTCAGTGTTGGTGTACAACATTGGAAGGACAGGGAGGTAGCAGCTCAGGGACAGTGTCCTGGGGCAGGTCATTAGGCTGGCTGGGGCAGCCCCTCTGAGCCTCAGCTCCAGGCTACCTCATGTTTTCTGTTCTAGGATGTGACCCATGGACGTGGGGGGACTCTGTCCCAGTGCTAACCCTCCAAGTTGCAAAGCCCAAGGGAGCTGTGGGCTTTTATGTGGGTCCAGGGCTGGTGAAGCCCAAAAAGCAGACAGCTTTGTCCCCTGGGCTGGGTGCTGGGTCTGGGCTACTGGGAAAGCTCAACACAGACACAACCTGACACCCTGCAGCCTGCTGCCCTCTGACAGAGCCCGTGGTCTTGAATCACTGAGATGGTCGAGACAAGGAGACCCCTGGGGGACCCAAGACGGGCTCGCCTCTCTCCTGACCCTGGGCGTCTGGCCTTCTTTCCTAGGTGGCTCTGCGGGTCAGGCCCATCAGCGTGGCAGAGCTGGAGGAAGGAGCCACCCTCATCGCCCATAAAGTGGATGAACAGGTACGGGAGTGCGGCCAGGAGCTGCTGGGGCGGCCAGGGGTCTGTGCTGGCTGAATTCAGACCCCACCCAGCACCGGCAGGAAGGGCCTCTCTGGCTGACAACATCATCCCTCCTCTACCTGCTGTTTGCTTAGCTGTTTCAAAGAACTCGACAGGGAAGCTTCCTGGGTTGAACCCGAGACAGCGGAGAGTAGTCCTGGCTTAAAAAGTCACATATTCTGTGCTTGAAACCTGACTTTGTCGTCTTAATGTCTGCAGTCCATGGACTATGTGTGTGCTGGTGTGCACACAGGCGTGCGTGCACCCCCCCCACACACACACAGAATGCAGAGGTCCTAGCTGGTGTTGTGTACTGTTGAGTCAGAACAGACCCATCGGCTGACCCTCTGGGGGGTTTTCAGAGGCAGTGAATCACGCAGGAGGAGATTGCCCATCTTTCTCCTGTGGAGCAGCTGGTGGACTTGAACCTCTTGCCTTCAGGATTGCAGTGCAGCTGCTTACCACTGGGCTCAGGTGCAAACAGCTAGCACTCAATTACTAACCTTAAGGTTGGTGCTTGGAGTCCATTTATTGGTGCCATGGAAGAAAGGCCTGGTGATTTGCTTCAGTGAAGATGACAGCCAAGAAACACGGGTGGGGCAGTCCTGCTCTGTTACACGTAGGGTCGCCAGGAGTCAGAGTTGATGATGACAACGGATTTGGTTTGATGGAGAGCCGATGCTCACCTTCTGAGTGTCCAGGCTTCTCAGGATCCCTGGAGGTCCGTCTGCCTTCCTCGGTCCTCATGGGACCGTGGGTCGGGAAATTGTTCTGCCTGTTTCAACACAAAGTAGCAAATATCTATCAGTCTGTTGGGTGCTGTGCTGGGGCTGGGAAGTGAGCGTGGAGGGCATGAGCCGGGCCTGCCTTGGGTCTCCTTGCGGTGCAATGTGCAGGGAGAGGAGATAGTAATCAAAGAGCAGAATTGCAGCCGAGCGAGGTAGCAGCTGGTGAGGGCTTCCAGGGGGTCTGCAGTGCTGGAGAGTGAGTAAAGCGGGCCCCTGGCGCTGGAGGTCAGAGGCGGCTCCCTTAACAGGCTGTGTGGAGCTGGATCAGGACGGGTCATTACGGGCACGTGGGTACGATCGTGTACCTGCTCCTGCAGCCAAGGAAGGGGTGACAGAGGTGAGATCAGATTGGCGACTCGGGCAGGAGCCAAGGCCACACACTGTAGACCCAGCCAGGATGCTTGTGGGGCAGGACGTTGGGGACACAGGTGTGGAATCAGTGTGAGCGGCAGGAGCAGATGTGGTGCCTGGACAGGAACATCGAGGGCCATTGTCTGTAGTCATCTGGGCTCCGTGCTTCCTCTCACTGGCATCTCCCGCGTGCACTGGTGCTGTTGGTGCAGAGAAGTCAGGGTGGCGCTGAGAAGGCAGCGGTGGGGCTGACCGGCCTGGGCCCGGCAGGCAGGACTCACGTTGCTGATAAGAGTAGGAGAGGTGGTGGGTACCACCCCCAGTGGCACCGCCTCTGGGGTCCCAGGGCGAATCCCTACTCCTTCTCCTCCTTCAGCTGTGATGGTGGAGCTGGGGGACCAGCCTCTGTTTTTTCTTCCTTTATTTCTCTTGGGAAAAGGTCGTTGTGTACCATTGAGGTAGAGCTGACCCATCGCTGACCCTCCAGCAGGCTTTCGGAAGCAGTAGGTTGTATGTGGAGATACCTCGCTTTCTCTTACAGAACAGGTGGTGGGTTTGAACTGCATACGTTTGTGTTTGGCAGCACAGATCCTTACCAGTAAGCCTCGTGCCGTTGCTGCTGCAGAAGCCTTCGCTGCTTGCCCGTAAGGGGGGCAGTGATCCCGGTGTCCTCTTTATCAGCTCTTCATGGGCTAATGCACACTGTTCACCGCAATGCCTGCTACAGGCTTTGTTGTTAGCTGGTTGGATAGTTAGTTGGTACCCAACTTCTGACAACCTTTGTGATCGCTGGTGTTCATGAGCTAGTCTTCAGAAGCAGATCGGCAGGTCTGTCTTAGTCTGTGAGCTCCTATGAAACTTGTTTATCATCATAGGAACATGCAAGCCTCCACTGACGGACATAGGTGACGGCACATGAGATGCTTTGGCCGGGAATTGAACCCTGTTCTCCCAAATGGAAGGCAAGGATTTTACCACTGACCCAAAATCAAACTCACTCTGTCATTTATAGGGTCACTATGAGTTGGAGCTGACTCGACGGCTCCTAACACTGAGTTGACTCTGAAGCAGAGAGATTCTTTTTTTATTTTACTTTTATTATTATTATTATTAATTTGTGTGTGCGCACCGTCAAATTGAATCTGACTGGTACAGGAGGAGACTGCCCCTCTTTCTTCAGCAGAGCATCTGGTGGATTTGAACCGTGCGCCTTTTGGATTGCAGTGCACCTTCTTTCCACTAGGCCACCAGAGCTCCCTGAGAGATTCTTTAAGATGCACTAGAACTGAGCCATGGGCTTCTAAGGTGGTGATCTTTATGGAAGCAAACTCCTTCAGAACAATTGATGGATTCGAACCATTGACCTTTGGCTTAGCAGCTACATTCTTTAATCGATCGCTGTGCCACCAGGGCACACATAGGAGTTTAATGAATGTTAGCCATCATCATTGTTAGTTTAATAAATGTTAGCTATCATCATTGTTAACGATGGGCACTCCCCAAAGCTGCAGGGTTGACTGATGAAGGGCCCAGCCTCTCCAAGCCAGAGAGCTAGGGAGGAGAGACCGCCTCTGAGCCAGGTGCCTCCCCTGGGCGAGGTTCCTCCTGCTTGTCCACTCCGTTCCCCAAAGGGTATCAGTCCATATCAGTCCAGCAGGCTTCGACAATGGCATTCCTCTCCCCCTGCTAGCCTGGCTCCCCGCCGGAGTGGGGGCTGATAGTATTAACTGCTGCTGATCCAAAGGTCTTCTCCGGGGTGCAGCCCACACCCAGCAAACACTGGCTCCTTTCTATCCCTTTGAAATTCAGCCTCAACTGTGGGCTGGAGACGGCAGCGTACAGGGCTGCTTATTTTTGAGCCATGGGCTCAACCAGGGGGTCTCAGCAATGTGCAACCAGGGGGTCTCAGCAACGTGGGCTCAGTTAGAGCCCTGGCTCAGCCCAGAAGCGAGAACCTCTGCTTCCTCCCTGAGCGCCTCCTGCCAGGATGGGCTTCAAATACAAGCTCACCTCCCAGCCCGGCCCTCTTGCCCAGAGCTGCAGCCTGGGAGGAGTCATAGCGAACTCTAGGTTGGAAATCTCTTCAAATCGGCACCTCCTCCCTCCCTAACAAATCCAGCCTTGGCAACAAGGATGTGAAGGTTGTTGTTGTTGTTATGTGCTGTCAAGTCACCTGCGACTCATGGCAACCCTATGTCCAGCAGCCCTAAACTCCGCTCTGTCCTGTGCCAATCGCACTGTCTCTGACACTCCCATCCCAATTACCCCAGTCACTGAATCAATCCACCTCGTAGAGGGTCTTCCCCTCCTGCACTGTACCTCCACCCTCCCAAGCATGATGTCCCTCTCTAAGGACCGGTCTCTCCTCACAACATGTCCAAAGTATGTTAGACAGAGCCTCAGAATCCTTGCCTCCAAGGAGCCACCTGGTTTAACCCTTTCCAGGACAAATCTGTTTGTTTTCCTAGCAGTCCATGGTATTCTCAATACTCTTCTCCAGCACCACAGCTCAGGAAAGATGGGCAGTTTCCTCAGCAGACCAGAACTCTGCCTCCCGCTCTGCCGCACTCCACCCAGGGACACCCCTAATGACCTCCAGGGCAGCATGATGGCCTCAGAGAGGCTTGGGGGTCCAGGTGTGGACAGAGCCACTGATGGACAATGAGTTTGCTGTTTCTCTGCCCTTTCCTCTGGGATCTGGGGCCAGGGGGTCACTACGGTGAGTTTGGACCCTTAACTAGGCCAGCTGGTGTGGACGATGTCACCAGGGACAGTGGTGTCCCTCACTAGGAAAAGGTAGCTGTGCCCGTCAGTGCCCTGCCCGCCAGTGCCCAGCTGTGCCTGAGTGCCCACTGGCGCACTGCCCTGTGAAGAAAGCTCTTTGCTTCTTGCTTCCCCACTTCAATAAACAGGTTACTTCTCTGCTGTCACAGGCCTGGGGGAACAGGGCCCCCTCAGTGGTCAGCAAGAGAGGTAGAGGCTGCTATGGCCACCCACTGCGGTTTAGGAGGGAGAGGCAGGCTGGGCACTTGGTCACTGACTGGTTTGGGTCACAGTGAGGGGCTCTAGGCCAGCTTTCCCTCAGGCCCAGTGTTCTCCTGGGGAGGCCTGAATATGGGGGGTAGTACAATACAACTTTCAAGAGAATGGACTGTCCTCTGGTAAGGTGGTGCCTGGAGACAAGGAGACCCACTGTGCTGAAACTCTGGACGGGGGAGTTAGCATGAAGGTCTAGATGGTGTAAGGGAACAATTCAGATTACTTGGAGACCCATGACCCAGGGTTCTGGCCAATTAGAAGACTCTAGCTGAAGGACTGACCTATGGGGAGATTTCAGAGTTAACACTTAGCCCTCCTTCAGACCTCCCCACTTCCAATATCAGAACTCCTGGTGTAGGGGACCTGCATGATCCCCTCTTCATTGCCTCATTACTAGGTGCCATTGAGTCAAGTAACCCTAAGAACGGCACATCTGAGCCCTGTCGTACCCTGTGTTGTCTTCATTCCCTGACACCCTAGAGCCCATCAGAACAGTCACTGTATCAATCCTCCTGGTTGAGGGTCTTTCCCTCTTTCACTGACCCTCCACGTTCCCACAGTATCCCTCCTCATAGATGCTGGGCTTCAGTCCGAGACCGACCCTAATAAATATCACAACAAAGCAAGTCACACATTTTCTGTGTCCTGCTGTAAAAATTGTGTTAACACTATGCTGTAGTCTGTGTCAAGGAGCCCTAGTGGTGCTGTGCACTGTATGTTACACTGCTAACTTGAAGGTCAGAAGTTCAAGTCCACCCACAGATAGGTAGTGGGAACCAGATA